CTTGCACATTCTGCTCTTACAGTACTATAAAACTATGGTTTCCATGTTAAAACATTGATGGTAATGATATAGAAAAACAAATGCCCTTTGATAGACCAGGATACTTGACCTCGAAGTTAATTTCACTAAGAGCCTTAAGATTTTGTTTGTTAACTTATACAGTAAGCAAAAACCAGTTCCTTTACATGTAAATGGTAGTTCAGACTTCAGAAATTTGTGGCATGCCCTGGCCTCTCCCTAGACATATGAAAATAATACATAATTACTAGGCCTAAAAGTGTCATTTTAAACATATTCCTAGGATGACTTTTATGCAATTTGAGAATGATCTAAAGGATAACTTGGACTTTATCGCATCCTTAAAATCCTTATCTGAATGCAGTATCTTTATGCATCAAATTTTTCTTAAAAAAAAAAAAAACCAAAAAGCATGGGGCTAGAGCAATAGCACAGCGGTAGGGCATTTGCCTTGCATGCAGCTGACCTGGGTTCGGTTCCCAGCATCCCATATAATCCCCTGAGCACTGCCAGGAGTAATTCCTGAGTGCAGAGCCAGGAGTAACCCCTGTGCATCGCCGGGTGTAACCCACAAACCAAAAAAAAAAAAGCGTTATTCATCTATTTTGCAAATACTACTGTAGCAGGCAACAGGAGACTGCACACTAATAAATATGTACTTGGCTTCTTCTCACGTTAGAAAGCTTTTTAGTTTTTAAATGCAATTATCCAAATGATTACCTTAAAATTTATTTTCAAAACAACTTTCTTCTGGGCTGGAGCAACAGTATAGCAGGCATTGCCTTGCACACAGTCAAGCTGGGTTGTGATCCCCAGCATCCCTATGGTACCCCAAGCACCACCAGGAGTATAATTCCTGGGGGCAAAGTTCCGAGTAAGTCCTGAGCATGGCTGGAGGTGACCCCCAAACCAAAAAACATTAACAATTCTCCCTCTTAAAGGTCCACAAACCAAAAACAAGAAAACCCAAAAATGGAAAAAAACCCTTTTTCCAATACACAAATCTAGTAAATTTGCACATATATGGTTTACTACTTGTTTCATGTAAAGAAGTTAATTTCCTTTCCTTCTGTAACTTTACTTTGCAAAGATAAAGTACTTTGATTCACAGGACACATTTTAAACAAGGTCAATGCTTTAGTACTTACACAGTTCTGATAGCATATTAGAAAGGGGTACCAACATGTTAAGAGTTGAAAAGAGCCCTTTCATACCCTCAAAAGCAATTCAGTCATCTGGGTTTTGCTAAAACATTTCTGGTGAACCATTTTCCCCTTCATTAAATAGTACTTATCATGGTAGAATAACATCTCACTATATAGTCACAAAACATCTCACTCAATTTCCACCAACTCATTTGAAACTTGCCCTCTTCCTTAAGTCCCTCATATATTTGAAGTAAGCTATTGTGTCCTTTTAGCTTTCTATTCTCTAAGGTCTATACATTTATATCAACCATGAGATGTAGTTTCTTACCATACATAACATCTTTGAAATTGGGATCCATTTTGTAGTCGGTAGTTTTTTTTTTTTTTTTTTTTTTTTTTTTTTGCTTTTTGGGTCACACCCAGCGATGCTCAGGGGTTATTCCTGGCTCTGCACTCAGGAATTATTCCTGGCGGTGCCTGGGGGACCATATGGGATGCTGGAAATTGAACCCAGGTCAGCTGCGTGCAAGGCAAACGCCTTACCCGCTGTGCTATCACTCCGGCCCGCTTGTTGTATTTTGAAGTACCATTTTCTTCCTTAGGTACACAAACTAATGGTGTACTTAACAATTGTTGACAATTAGATTTGATGAAATACAATTATCTTACATGTCTTAGCACTTTCTCAGTGACTAGCAGAAACATGCAAGACCTTTCTTACCTTATAAACAGACCTCTGACCTCTCCTTGGTTATATTCTTTCCATAAAGATTGAAACTTTACAAAGCAGATCACTTTACACTAAGGATTACTTGTTCTATCAATTTTATACCCAAACCTCTACTAGTCCTACTGCTGTTTAGTCAGACTCACGTATTTACCAAGCTCTAAACCGTAAAACAGGTATGTTTCCAAGGCTTATTTTCTAATGTTATATATTCCTACTTTCTGGGGTTTACCTTATATGATGTTTTAAATTTAATGTGAAATGGGGCTGCTAAAAATCTATCTCACAACATTAAACCTAAAATAAATACAACAATGTAAGTAAAATACTGAATACACAGCTTGGCAGCTAGAAGACATGCCACACTTTCTGCTCTTGTAATCATGGCAGTTCTGAAAACACAGCTGGCTTCCTATTTTTAATCTGGGGCTATACGCCCGGTGGTGCTTGAGAGCTACCTAACACCCTGTGCTCAGGGCCCAAATCCTGGTAGGGATTGGAGTAATGTTGTCTACATGCAAGACAAGTGCCTTAACTCCTGCATACACTGTACTTGTATTAATCTCTCTGGCTTTTGAGCACTATACATTTATCATGGAGCTGAAGCCTACATTATCTTTGGCAGTAGCATCCAAATTCATGTTGGCTATAAATAACTCTTAAACTATGTTAAATTCTTTACATTTTTGCATCCACAATTAAATAATTCTTCTGGTTCAATGGATTCTATTTTATACAACACACACACACAAATTACTGCTTTAGGTTTAATTTTTTTTTCTTTCACTGTGTTAATCTTCTAGTTGGTTAAGTGTTCATGGTGTAACATTAGTAATGGTCTGACAAACCATTAGGATCTAGTCTTTTAAAAAAAACACTGATCTGTATCTGCAATATCTCCCTTTACCAGAGATTGTGTGAATGGAACCAGGTAGAAATTCTAGGTCTTTTTATTAACTACACAAACCACAGTTAAAAGAACATTAAATATGAACTTCTTTAAGTTTATACACATTCATGTTTAGGATTTCAGCAACTCTGCAAAACTGGTGCTATTACATAAATGTACATTAAATGAGTCTTCCCTTTCAGTCATACTCAGTGCCTCATATATGAGTTAAACACCTCATACTTAATGAATTAGAGGACATAATAGACTGGAAGATTTGGTTTTTAAATTAAGGAGAATTTAGAGGAAAAACTAACTTTAAAAAAACGGTAGTGTGGTAAAAACTTGAAAGTGCAAAGTGAATCTTTGAATAGGAAATTGCAGCAAAAATAGTCAATTGTTTCAGTGCTCAATGCTTTAATTTATGCATTTTATTTCAAAATAAAATATCAGTTTATACCATTCTCAGTTATCATGTATTTATCAAGCACCTACTGAGACCCAACTCAGTGGCAAAAAGGAAAAAGACAAGCTAAGTGATAGGCTTGTATGTAATAAAAACAAGTTAACTTTGCCTTTATGTCTGAAGGGAAAACGTAGACATAATTTTTAAAAATCCCTGGAAATGGAGTTTTATCAGATATAGAATCATGAAAAAGCAGAAAATATTTGACCACCAATAGCTTAAAGGACTTCCCTTCTCCCCCATAAGAAGCCAATTATAGTATAATCACAAACATAATGTAGACACCTGTGTCACTACTTATATTGGGGAGGGGTGAGGTAACACACAAACACATAAACCTAAGAAAGAAAATGTAAAGTAACAGCTTAGGTCAACTTCTGTACATGTATAACCATAGATTAAAAAAAATACATTTAAATATTAGTTAAAACCTGGATTTGAAGCGATAATTTCTGATATTATTTATGAAAAGTTGTGCATGCAATAGTTTTCTCATTTTAATGATTCAGGGTAAAGGGAAGTCGAAAGCTGGGTAAGTGTGCAATTAAAATTCATTAGATGGCAGTTAAACAAGAACCAAAACAATAAACCACTTGACATGAGCTATCTTATTTATCAATCACTATGCTTCAGCTAACATGTAATTAATATAAATTCATATTGTTTGTATTAATGTCCCTTCCTACGATTTCTTTCCACATTGTTTTTGATGAATATGTACAAAAAGTAAAACATCATGATAAAAATTAATCTTTATATTTTTAAAAGTTTGACTTCTAGGATTGGACTGATTTATGTTAAATACGGTGTGTGTTATGATAGTTTCTTATACCACAGTTAAATCTATAATCACATAAATGTCACTTTCATATAGAGATGCTTTGATTTAAATAAGATTATAAAGATCTTGCTATATTTTTGTCAGCTTTTTATATCTCAAAATATATAGAAACTCTTAAGTCATGTTACATTCCTGACACACAAACAGCAGTGTCATAAATGTTTCACTTTCAAACATGATTGGTAAATGTCAACGATCTTTCTTGTTCATAGAAAAATAGAATAAAAATGAAAGCAGAATCAAAACTCATTGCTCCTTTTTTTTAAAAACTGTCCATTTCTAGTTCTGCTTTCTCAGCTTCAGTCCTCACACATTTAAAAAAACAATGATTGGTGAATAGATAGAAAAGAACCCATCAATTTGTAAACATGAAACAGCCAAGCCAGCACACTTGAAGGTAAAACCCATCCCATCCCTACCTCTGGCTTACCTTAATTTTCATATTCTAAAAGTCTATCAAGAAATTTCTAATAAAATTCCTAATGAAAACACTTTGATCAGATACCAAGTGTCTGATTTCTAATGCTGCTATAATCTGTTAAAATATAATTTGGTTTTTAACTTGGTTAAGAACGTCTACATTTCAAACCTAAAATGAAATGGTATGGTTTCATCAAATCGCCAAAGCTGGAAAACAAAACAAAAAACCCATGTTTTTGTTTGTTTGTTTTGCTCATGCACTCAGGAATTACCCCTGGCAGTGCCTGGGGGACCCTATGGGATGCTGAGAATTGAACCTGGGTCGGCTGCGTGCAAGGCAGATGCCTTACCTGATGTGCTATCACTCCAGCCCCCCCAACACGTTTTATTTAAACTGTTTAGTCACACCATTCAGTTGGCATTTGTAAAACTAAATTTTTTTTTCCACATTGAAATAATATCACAAATTCAAATCAAAGTCAACACTGCAATGAGGAGAGCTTTTCTACTTTATTACAAAGAGAAGAAGCCTTTATGTGGTCAGAAAATACAAGATTGATCTTTTTTTTTTTTCTCTTCCTATGAAACGCTGCTGTTCAAACAGCCAGAGTGAATTGTCTCAGTTCACTTCTTTAAAGTCCCATCACATTCACTTGGGTATGGATGTCCTTGGCTGCTGAAAATCTGGCCCTTTAGTGCACAGGGCGACAAAGTCCCCTGACCAGCAGTTCCAGAATGTCCCATTTTCATATATTGCATCCATGCACACCTCCTAAAAATGAGGTACAGCAGGGCAAACATTTTCCAAAATAGATGTCATATATATAATATATACACATTCGTACATACATACCTTTATTCATGTGATGTCCAAAAATTTAAAAAAAATGTACACATTTATTACAAAATCGTAACAAAGACTGGACAGTGTTTTGCTCATTCTGGAAAGATGAAGCTCAGTAATAACACAACCCTGGAAACCAGAGATTGTGGCAATAACTTTCTTCTAAACAGTCAGATATTCATTCTTGCATTAAGCTTGGCGAAACTGCCTTTCAAAAACAGAAGGAGAAGTAAAATGAAGGAAGCAGACCTTGCTCATCTTTCCAAATGAAATACGAGAAGGATCTTCACATAAAAATGCACAAACGTTTGTTATTTTATTACCAATAGTGCTACAATGAACAATGTAAATTTTGTGGTCTAATTTTGTTGAGTCTTTTGTGGGGTTTTCTTTTTTTTTTTTTTTACATTTTAGAAACTAAATGGTAAACTTCTGTCAGTGTACTTGTTTCTCTTTACAGACCCAAGTCTGTATGCTGGCAAAAAAGAAAATAAATGAAAAAAATTCAGACCCTGCTCAAACTAGTGAAAAACAAATTACAAATTTAGTTGTTGGGCAGCACATAATTAGTAAGGCAGGACCTCAAATGGTGACCTTTGCGTAAGCCAATTGCCAGATCCTCAAGGAATTAAAACCAGGGTGCCTGAGCCACATCAGTTCTGCAGTTATGTTGAGTATTGTGCTGAGACAGCCATACCCCAAGAAAAGGGAGTCTTTTTTTGTATGTTTTTTTTTGTGTTTTTTTTTTAGAAGGCTTGCTGAGCAGGGTTGTAGTTGAAGGTGGATGGCAGGTGAGGCCGTTCTTCTAATTTGTCATATTCCAGATGGAACTCCTACAAAACCAAAGTTAAAGAGTTTAGATGGATTCCTTGTCTTTGATTTCAGAATTTTGTCAAAACACTTTATTGTAAGAATAAAATACCTATACATATGAGAATACAGAAACAGATTAATACTTTTCCCCTCTTAGTAAAGGTACATCTAAAAAAAATAAGAGTGCTGTTTCTAATTAAGTACAGAATAGAATTTCTATGTAAAATTACACGAAGTCAAATGTCTATTTTACCATGAATCTTAAGTTTTAAGATGGTGAACTAATTTGGCCACTCTTCCCTAAGTAAGGGGAGATTTTAACATCACATATTAAAAGCTAAATAATAAAAAACAAACCTTTGCATATCCAAAGAATGTTCTAAGATTGCTAACTTTATAACCTGAGTGAGCATCAACTATTTCAGTATATACTATTTAAATAATTATGAACTTTAATATGTGTTGTGTATTAAAGAAAGTCAATAAATAACAACAGCACCATAGGTCAGCATATTTTACCTGTCTGGTGCAAACTGATTGCATCATAGATGTTACATTAAAGGAGAATTTCTTAATGAACTAAAAGAAAAGCTTAAGTCATACCATAATGAGAAATTTTGATACCTTGTTTAAAATTTAAGGGCATTACATTAACAGTGAGAGAACAGCAGGTATAACTTATCAAAAGCCTATGTAGCAAAATATTCAGATAATTTTGCTTTATTCTTCACAACATCATTATAAAGTAGAAACATCTTCATTTTGCATTTGAGGAAAACTCAAGTTCTCAAATTACTTTAAATCACTCATTTAAAATGAGTAACAAGTTATCTGCCCAATTCATATAGTAGGTAACAGATCTAGAATTAGGGTCTAGGCCAATGTGATACCAAAGCTCATGTCTCGATTTCATATAGCACATTTTTAACGGTCTTATTCCAAGGAACCAAAATAGATTTAAATCATTACATCCCTACCTGAAATTAAGTAAAAAAAAAAAAAATCATCACACAAAAGAATATTTAAAAAAAAGACAAACTGTTAGGACTTGAATCTAAAAAAGTTTATAGGACAGATAGAGTAAGCCAAAACTAACAAACACCAATTGCCATTTTCCCTCTAGTGTGCCTCTCTGTGCCTGCCACTGACTAGCACTAAAAGGACTGCATTACCTCTCTTAACGTTTTTCTTTGGCGTTTACACTTACTTAGATGATCTCTTCTTTGTAAATATTTTTTACATCACTTTAAAGAAATTGATCATTTTGGTTTCAAAATATGAGCAGCTATCAGGTTAAAAAGTCTATAATTGTAACAAATCATGCATCCCACACTAAATTTAAATAAACATTTTGTTAAAATATGCACAGACAGGTAACTATGTTGTTAGAAAGTAAGTTAGAGTAACTGTTCCAATTCACATAATTTTCCCACTATACATTAAAAAACAAGTTGAAAGAAACTGAGGTGGGGGGATATCTGAGAAAATCTAACACAAATTTATATTGGTTAAATCTGTCTTTCATTTAAAAGATATTCCTGGTTTTATTCTTTCTTAAAAACTAAATCCATGAAGTTTATAATAAACAAGTATTTCCTTGTTTCCTAACCTTAATAATGTTGTTTTATATGTTTATGCTTCACACACAATTATACACATGAACAACTTTGAATAAGGCGTTAAGGGCATAATTTTTTTTTTTTGCCTTTGGGCTATACCTGGCAGTGCTCAGGGGTTACTACTCGCCTCTGCCCTCAGGAGTCACTCTTGGCTGGTTGGAGGACCGCATGGGATGCTGGGGATCGAACTCCGGTCAGCTGAATGCAAGGCAAGTGCCTTACTCGCTGTACTATTTTCTCTGGTCCCATTAAGTTTTATGAATCACACCATCTGCTTAAATATTGCCAGGCCTCCAGGAGGAATATAATATGCTAATGAATAAGTAATAAGCACACAATTCTTCATTTGTTGTAGGAATAGAATACTTAACTTTTAAAAGAATTGTAGATTATTTTTTTGTTTTGGGGGCCATAGAGAGCAGTTTTAGGGCTTGCTTCTGGTTCTGTGCTTAGGGTTCACTCCAGATGACTGGGAGACCACACGTGGTGCAGGGGATTGAATTCAGGCCAGTTGTGTCAAGTATTTTACCACTCTGACCCCTAATTGTAGATCTTTTACACAACTTTTATTGTCCTTCTTTTGGTATTAAAACTAGATAATATTCTCTGTGAAGTAAAACTGGGTGTGTTTACTTCAAATAAAATTATGATAAAAAATTAATGTCATCTCTGACCTAACCACATACAGGAGTTTTCTCCAATTTTTGAAAACATCAATTTCTCAAATAAGTCCTCTTCACTTTTAGTAAAGAAGCAGCAAACTACCTTAAAATTAAATTTTTATTATTTTGGAAAAAGTACCTAATACTGATTAGAATACAAAGATGCATTACCATGTACCAGTACAAGTAATGAATGAAAATAATTTTTATTGGGCTATGATATAATTTTAAAAATATTAAAAATAAAAATTAGTGTTGGGTCAGCAAGGTAAAAATCAGGTTGAAAAGGATAACTTTAATTTGGGAAAAGTTAGTTTACAGGATAGCCTCCAGTACCTAAACATTTTCTGTGGATGAAATTATTTTTAAAAAGCTATGTTTTAAGATTACATTCTGAATTCTTAATTACTACTTAAGATTACTCTCTGAATTACAACAGGTTTTTATTCAGTGAATACATAAAATTCTAATTACAATACATAGGACAGGCAACACAGCTTGCCAATAAGGTCTGAGGAAAATGGACAATTAATTTTTTCTTATTTTATTTTTGTTTTTTGGGGTCACTCCTGGCACCATAGTGGTGATGAGGGTCAGCTGCATGCAAGGGATGGGTCTTACCCCCTTTCTCTTGGAGAAAGAAGTACTTAAAAGGGGAGAATAAACTGTCAAAAATGACCTTCAGGACATTCTTTAAATAAGGATAGGGCGGATCATAGAACTCAGGATGACAGAATGTTAAAGTGATAAAAATTAATTCTGACTGACATAATCTAATTCCCTAATATGAGGGAATTAAGGGACAATAATCTAATTCCCTAATACAATTCTAAACTTTTTTGAAAATATTGTGACTTGGAAAGAGAAAGACCCTTACAGAATATACGATGGATCAGGCCAATCATTTTCCTCTTCAGTGATACCGGGGATGGAAACCAACTCTCCTACATGCAAAGGGCACTGAGCCCCATCTTCTACACTAAGTGAGCATGAGGAAACTTGCTCATATGAGATGCTTGTTTGTATTTAAGCCAACTTGGGCTTGATCCCTAGCACCAAATATGATCCCTTGAGCACTGTAAGGAGTGATCTCTGAGTGTGGGCCAGGAGTAAACCACACCTACTAGGTGTGGGCACCGGATAATTTTTTTTTAACAATACCAAGATAAAACCTGTCATACTGTAGTAGTATTATGAACGAGTTCAAGGCTATTTAATACAAGTTCCTTACCCACGAACAGTAAATCACCTTCATTTTATAGATGGGGTTTTTGAAATTAACATGAAACATGGCACTTCCAGAGGAATTTCTTTGGCATTATGAAGTAAGTTAATAAATAGAACATGAATAAAAGTAAACTTCTAACCCATTCCCTGGGACAAAATTAAAAACAACATTAAAAGTAAAACCAAACGAATCATTGTGAAAAATTTATTCTACTATAACTCTAAGTTGAGATATTCATGAATTATTATTTTAATATAGCAAAAGTGATGGTTTATAGAAACCACTACTTGCTTTCATCATCATAAAAATAATTTTATTGAAGAGTATCAGCAAATTATCAAGAGAATATTTAAGGGAAAATATTCTTTTTCTTATTTCATAGATCAAAATTTTTAATGGAGAGGTTAAGACATGCTCAATTTTGCAGCAAATATCCAATAAAAACATAAATACATATGTATGCACACCACACAGAATCTTAACTCATGTGGCCAAGTTCAAGAGTCCCATTAAACTGTTTCTTATATGTTTTATTTTATGCTACAGAATTAGATAATTGAGAAGTTCAAGTACAATTTTTGACAAAAACCAACACCAGCACTGATATCACTTGGAAGATTACTAGAAACTCAAATTCTCTAGGGGCCTGAGTGGTAGTACAGCAGGTAGGGTATAAGCCTTCCATGCAGAAGACCTGTGTTCAATTCCTGCCATCCCATATAGTCCCCACCGAGCCCCACAGTGATTCCAGCACAGAGTCAGTAGTAAGTCCTAAGTACTGCCAGTGTGACCTCAAAGCAAAACAAAGTAAGGAAGTAAGGGAAAAAAATAAAGAACCCAAATTCTCTAGGCCTGCAGAGATAGTACAGTGGGTAATGCGCTTGCCGGCACAATACCGACTAGGGTCTGATCTCTGAACACAGAGACAGGAGTAAGCCTTAAGCACCACTAGGTATGACCAAAACCAAAATAGTTCCCCTACTCCAAATTCAAAATTCTCAGGTCTCATTAACAGAGTCAAATCAGAAACAATAAAAATATGCACAGCAATTTGTGTTTTAACAAAGTCTCTAATAATTCTGATACATGCTAAACTTTGAGAACTCCAAGACCTTTATACGTATTACATGACCTAAACTAACAACTGTTAATATACATTTCTGCATCTTCAGTAGTAGAAAACATAACAGTGATAATAAAAATAACAAACAGTCCAAACTATTTTCCAAACACTCTACTCTGTGTATGTGTGTAATCTCACTTAATCTTTATGATAATCTAGATGCTGACATTTTAGCAGATAAGGAAGTAGGCATGGAAAGAAAACTTGCACAAGGTCAAAACAAGCAAAAACAGTCAAATCCAAGATACAGACTATAGCTTTCTATTACACTAAACTTCTTAACAACAGTTAGTACACACAATGTCTTATACTATGTGTAACTAATGCAACTTTCTGTTTAAATGACCAGATCACTGATCTGCCTTTTGAATCAACGTATGTAAGTTAAAAAAAAACTACTAAGATAATTCAAATACAGCATACAGTTATGAACTTGGTCTGAGAAGTAATTACATTTATCACTGAGCAGTATCACACAATTATGAAACAAGATTTAACATTATACATATCTTGTTTTGGTGTTTTTATTTCCCTATTTCTCAAGTTTTATGTAAAATCTTTGAATGTAAACGTTTTGGTAATAAAAAACCAGTAATTATTTTACATTGTTTTATAAAAAGTATTTTATCATCTTATTAAAGTTGATCCACAGAAAGCCCAAACCAACAACTAAAAAAAACTGTCAAGAAATATTTTTCTTATGTTTAATTTATTTAAAACAAAAGTAACTCCTTACTTTTTAAAGAATCATCCATGGAAAAAGCATTCAGATAAACCTGGAGTTATGAAATCAAATAATGTTGGTTATATTCTCTAGTAGGTGGAGTTAAGTATGTTTGTGTGTATATATACATATACATAAACTATTGAACACAAGTGAAATATGCACTGACACTGATGGAAATTTTGTACATGGTGTTTCTGACAAGAAAAACTGGCACAAAGTCTTTTTTCATCAGAAAATATTTCAAACCAAACCAACAACTATACAGTTTCTACGGAGATCATACTGCCTCCCCCCACCTCCCAATATTCTGCATACTAGTCAGAGCAACAATGAATGTTATGCTTGAAATTCTCTTAGCATTACTAGTGAACAAAAACTCATCTCAACTGGGCACATCTGAAATTGATAGTTTTTAGTTTTTTTTTGAGCAAATCACATAGTTGATTAATTTAAAATAATGAAAATGGGGCCAGAGCTATAGTACAGCGGGTAGGGTGCTTGCCTTGCATATGACCGACCCTGGTTCAATCCCCTGCACCACATATAGTCCCCAGAGCCCAGCTAGGAGTGATCCCTGAGAGTAGACACAGAGTAAACCCTGAGCACTATCTGCTGAGCCCCCCTCCAAAAGCAAAACCAGTAACAACAAAACAAAGTAACAAAAATGTAAAAATACATGACTGGGATTGCAAGAGGGCATCTTAATTTTACAAATGAATAATAAAAATATCTCAAATGTTACCAAGACTTTTAATAAATTACAAAAAATCTTACCAAATTCAATTATTTCCTAACTGTTAGTGACAGGAGCTATTTCTGGATACTCTATCTTAAAAGTTTAAATCAAGACAAAGATGTGAAGACAAAGGATTTAGCAAGTATCTGGCACATTATTTGGGAGGGATATTCTGGTACATAAAAACAAATAAAAGAAGACAATCCTTAAAAAAAAAAAACTAGGTTTATGCATTTACACATGGAAAAAAATATACCTTAGCTACTTTCCTCCAGTTAAGACAGTCAAAGAAGTAATATGTTCCCCTCTCATATGTATTGGTTTTCATTGTTGGTTCCATGCCTGGTGCCCTGGTAATCCATACTCGTTCTTCTTTGTGGTATCTCCAATCACGATTAAAACTTCAATTTTTAAGAGAAAAAAACAATTAATTTTTCCCATGATACACATAAAACATCTACATGTTGTAAAACTTAGCACAGCGGGTAGGGCGTTTGCCTTGCACGCAGCCAACATGGCCGACCCGAGTTCGATTCCTCCGCCCCTCTCGGAGAGCCCGGCAAGCTACCGAGAGTATTCGATATGCCAGACACAGTAACAACAAAGTCTCCAATGGAGACGTTACTGGGCCCGCTCGAGCAAATCGATGATCAACGGGAGGGCCTTTACCTTACCTCTCATAAGATAATTACAGTAAAAAATTTCTTAATTTGCCCAAAACCACAATTCTGATTCAATATATTCATGCATAATGAAGAACATTTTTTGGGGGGGAGGGTCACACTTGGCGATGCACAGGCGTTACTCCTGGCTTGGCACTCAGGAGTTACTCCTGGAGGTGCTCAGGGGACCGTATGGGATGCTGGGAATTGAACCCGGGTCAGCCGCGTGCAAGGCAAACACCCTACCCACTGTGCTATCTCTCCAGCCCCATGAAGAACATTTTTTATGAAAGCAAACTAAGGTTTTAGAAACTTCTATGAGCAATGCAATTAAAACTTAGAATATATATATATATGTATATCTCCAGGACTTCACTCCTCTGTTAAGATCAATAAAAACCAAAATCCCTATTAATACAAACATAGCCCCCTACTATTTGTATTATTTTATTACTAATGAAAATGTTTTACTTAAATTCACATAATTTTTAAATTGTTGTAAATAGCCATTCTGAAAATTCTAACCCATTACTTTAATTTGTTATTCAAATTCACTGATCCTAAATTCTAAAATTCTAAAAGAATATTCATTATTATTCAAGCATGGAAATCAATGAGGATTTATATCTCTTATAAATCAGGAAGAAGACATTCAAAGAAAGTAAATGTACCATTAAAAAAAAAATCTCAGCTACAATAAATCTCCAGTAAACAAATAGTTTCCTATCAACAGAATAAAATTTCTAGACATAAATGAGACAGAACTGCCAGTGATAAATGTATGTATTGATTAAATGAATTTATTGGCTTATGAACTAAAAGGAACAAGTAACAACTGCTATCTTACAAAAAAATGAAAGGAAAACATGGGAAAAAACCTGAATTTTCAACTGGAAAATATTTAACACAATGAATTTTACATTCTAAAGTATCTAAAGGCTAGTTATAGAAATACTATTAGGAATATTATAAAACAAATAGGTAAAAAGGACATCATCATGTGATATATTTTGATTAATCACTCTTTAATAAACATGACTAACAGATTAATCCACTAGTAACAATGCTACCAATTGGACATAATGAGAAATGAAACAAAACTTACATACTTAGAGCATTAGGTAAAAACAAATGCTCAGAAAACAATGAATGGACCAGTTCTTTATCTTAATTTATTAAAAGAGGCCAATAGATTTCTGATAAGAAAAAATAGACTATCAACATTTCAAAACATATCTTATGATATGCACATTATCTTGTCATAGAAATCAATAGATATTTACTAAATAAAAAATTCACTGCCATTAACATAAGTGGTTCCATAAGGGGCAACATAAATCAGTTATGAACCACATCTTTATTCATATATTTTAAAAAAATTTAATTCACCAAATCCACAAGTCTGGTAAACTTCATCTTTTAGCAATTTGGAGTTATCAAATTTGAAATTCTTCATTATATACACATGGCTGGAGCGATAGCACAGTGGTAGGGTGTTTGCCTTGCACGCAGCCAACACGGCCGACCCGAATTCGATTCCTCCGCCCCTCTCGGAGAGCCCGGCAAGCTACCGAGAGTATCTCGCCCGCACGGCAGAGCCTGGCAAGCCACCCGTGATGTATTCGATATGCCAAACACAGTAACAACAAAATCTTCAATGGAGACGTTACTGGGCCCACTCGAGCAAATCGATGAACAACGGGAGGGCCTTTACCTTTTACCTTTACCATTATATACACAGTAATGACAAAGTCATAATAATTTAAGTTTCAGACCAAAAATTAAATTTACTTAGTGTGAAAATAAACCATTTAGATATGTTGGAGAAATACTTTAAAGTAAAAATCCACAGCAATCTGTTTTTTTTTTTAAAATTATAAGAACAAACAAGATCTCCTATAACACATAAGTGTTTGAAAAGACTTTGAACATACAGCTCAACTGCGGCTAAAAGTTGTAATACATCTCCTCCATTCATGTAATAGAGATAGAAGAGAAGATCTTCTCCATATCGGCCAAGTTTTATTGCAGCCAGCTGGAAAAGAGAAATAAATTATTCTGAAATGTAGGAAAAAATTCGAAAATATTCGTAATTGCTACCACTAAAATAAAAATGTAAAGATAAACAGAAATTACCTTCCTTATGGCAGAAAACAGTTAATATGATTTCACAGGTGTAAATCTAATGAGTTCACCATCTCAATGACTAAAGTAATTTATTTCTGGAATATTAATTTTAAGTCCTAATGTTCCAGAAAGGCAGCAGGAATGCGAACTAAGAAGATCACAGGAAATTGAGTTTTTTTTCAATACCCAATATGATAATAATAGTGGAACACATTGCTCAGATATGTAATATGCAACTTACATTCTTTCTAGTTGTATTATTTAAATGCTAAATGTGAACAATTTAATGTCTTTATAATCTGATTAGAAAATGGAGAGTAACACCTATGAGAATTACTAAGAAATGAAATTTGTGACTGTGAATGCACTTTGTCAGGTGTCCAAAACAAAATTTGTAAGAAATGCCAACTGAATCTATGTATGACAGCAATTCATAATTAGTTGGTTATGTAATTTTTAGCAAATCAGAGTAAGTATAAAAATTAAAAAGGATAGTTATTTTGTTTAAATGTATGATTAAAGAAACAGCTTTACATTCCCTTCTACAAAGCAGCACCAGAACTACCTTAGAAACTATTAAACATAAATGTACTCAATATTTTTAATACTTCATATTAAGATAAATCTTATTAAGACTTCACCAAAACGAGAATAGTTTTTATCTCCTCACCCAATTCTTCTATCTCAATGTTTAACTACTATTTTCTGAATATTTATTTTTCTTTTCATTTCATATTACCCCATTTTGGTAGGTCTAGAATTACAACAAATTCTCCTCAATTATTATTTCTTAAATTGGCATTTAAAAAGTTCTGCAACACTTAGCTAATCAGAGCAAAAGGGCACTACAGTGGAGGTGGCAGCAAATTATATTCTTCACAAATGGAAAAACTAGCCTTCTCTGACTCATATTTGTAATACTGGATTAGATGGAAGACAAGACTGAGTGCCAGAGAGATAGTTCAATAAGCAGGTGGCTCAAGTTCAATTCCCAGCACTGCATGGTCTATAAGCACCAAAACAGGACTAGATCCTAAGCACTGCCAGGTGTGGGCCCCTTCTCCCTGTCCTGCAAATGACTTATTGAGAAATACCTTTGCACCAACATCAGTATCTATTAAGAGCATACAACCAACTGGCATATTAGCAGAACAATGTCATTTTTATGCATTTCTATCGTATTTTCTGAGTACCCAAAGTGGTACTTCAGGGATGCCAGGGGCCACTCACAATGAGTTTTAGTCAAGAAGACTGGATGGCTGGATGCCAGAGCCCAAGAATATGGTGCTGCTCCGGCCCTATGGTACAAGAACCACCAGCAGGGCCATCCTTACAGTGCCTGGGGCCTTTAGGAACATACCCAGCTGGGGGAACCATGTGGTGCTAGGAATTAAACTGGGGTCGGAGGATGTAAAGCATGAATCTTCCCCTCCCCCACAAGAGATCAAGGGAAGAAGGGAAACAAAAACTGTGTGTCAAAGAAAACCCACCAGGAGGAGATGAAGCCGCTATTTCCTTCTCAGACAACGCGCAAGTACTGCCTCCCTGATTTACAGATATATCTGTACATGTGTATATAACATATACCTAATTTTCTATTATATCCTTTCATAAAAACTCTAAAGCAAAACTGTTTACATTTTTATTTTCAGATTAGAAAAAGACGAAAGGTTACAATATAAAGAAAATTTTAATTAAAAAAGAAAAATTTCAGAAACAGGATTATATGTCATAATTTTTAAATATATACCATGCCATTGAAAATAACAATATTTTAAAGAAAAAAGCCACTTATTGTTAAAGGCATAAAATAAGGATATCAGAAGAAAATGTGTCAGGTTTTCCAAGTTAGTTTATACCCATCAACTGTGGTAACGGTTATACCTGCTATAAATACTCTTAGAAATATATTACCAGTACTAACATTGTCTTGCTTTAGAATTATTTAAAAAATATAACCCAGAATATCACCAAACCATTAAGATTATACACAGAAATTGTTACCATCTGAATGAACACTGAAAACAGAGCTTCAGGCAACTAATTTTTTTAAAAAAATATACTGTTGAAAGCTGAAAAACAGTTCCAGAAAAAGATAAATTCATGTTGACTGAGTAGAATATTAATAAACTACACTCACCTTATCCCTAATGTGAATGTTCGTTAAGTATTCAGACGGAACATGGAAGTCTGGATAAAAATGAAAAAAGCCTTATTAACTGGTTCTCAGTTACAAATATCTTTTTCAAAGGACGGAACAAAAATAGATGATCCTACCTATGTCTTGAGGTCGACAAGGTGAAGATGCCCAGGGTGATGCAAATTTGGGGTAGAGATTTCTGAATAAGGGGGGGGAAAAAACACTCTGAAGTCCAAAAGTTGAAAAAGCTTTCTAATTTTAAGAAATCAGGAAAAAGCAATTTCTTCAAATAAAAAATGAGCTTCTTTACCTCTTTCCTTTTTTGTGTTTACTATAACATAAAGCAAGGCTAAATATTTATTAATTCTAACTCAATACTTTATATCTCATAAATACCATGCCATCAATAAATTTACTCACCCATTTATGTAAACAGAAAAAAATTAGTAATTATTAAAAGCAAAAGTTCAGAATCACCAAATATTATCAATGCCTGGTACTCTGCTCTACATGCATATAGGATACATCAGTGAACAAAATAGGTATCAGTGACACTGAAATTTCCTTTCTGGTTAAGGAAGGTAGACTGGAGAAAGGCAGACAAAAACAATTAATTAGCAAATAAATAATCAGTGGTAGTGAAATGATAAGGAGAGGAGACTGGCTGAATAATTATAGGGTAGTCCAGTTAGGTCTCATTAAGATTGTGAGATTTGAAGGATGTGAGGCAAGATAACATATTAATCACCATAGCATTTCTTTCCATTCTAGTCAGAAAGAACTGTTAAAGCAACTAATGGAGGGGTATGCCTGACATGTCTCAAGTTTAGTACTTAGTACCAAGTACTGAGCAGAGGATTTACTGGTTCACTAAGAGCTCTCCTGGCTTAATATGAAGAACAGATGCACAGAGAGAATCAGGGATACCTAAATAATAAAGAGTAACCTAGGAAGAAAGGATTGAGAGAGAGAGAGAGGAGATAAAGGTAGTGAGAAACAATGAGTCAACTCTGTTGAACACTACTGACAGGTACAAGGGAGATGAGTGCTTAGAAGAGACTGCTGAATTATGGGAATGGACCAGTAGTACAGTGGGCAGGGTGCTATGATTGCCTTATATTCAGTATATTCAGGTTCAACCTTGGCACTGTATATGGTTCCCTTGCACTACCAAGAATGATCCCTGAGCACAGAATTAGGAGTAAGCTCTAAGCACAACTGGATTTGGACCCCAAATAAAAACAAAACAAAAAAGAGGTAACTGCTGACGTTAACAATGAAAGTATTTGTGCGATGACCTTGATACAAGCAGTTTTAATAATGGAGGTAGTTTCCTAAAAGAGTTAGCTTAGTAAATAGGTAATCAAAACCAGAGACTCATACATTCAAGGCAAATGATTTATCACAACTTCAGACCCAGGAGGACAAAACTGAGATACAGTGATAGCTCTTCTGAAGAACTGTGATTATAAAGTGAATAAAAGCATGACATGAGGGGAGTAATTTATAAATGAAATCAGAGCAAGAAAAACCATTTAACTGTTAACATGAAAGAAATGACTAAAGAATTAGTTATGGTATTAGTGAGTTGCAGGAGGTGACATAATTTGATAACATGAAACTACAAAACCACAAAGGAATTATTACAAGAGGATGAGGGGAAAAAAAGAAAAGTACTTACTCAGGAGAGTTTAGATTGAGGCCTAATGTTGTTAAGTCACTTCCTAATGCAAGATGTACCATCCCTGGGTCTGTCTCTGCTGCCCTGATAAATGTTAATAGGCCAATCATTCCAAATTGGTCCGTCACCATCCCTTGAGGAATGTTAGTAACCCGACCTGAAAAGAAGAATAGCCATTTTAATCTTTAAGAAAAAAACTAATGATAATGCATTCTATAATATTTTGATAGTTAAGAGTCCCACCATCAGGTAACACCTGGATCCCTTTCTTCTGCTGGTTATTATTTTGTGTTGTTGAACTTTTATCTCCAGGAAATTTGGGTCCATCAGTACTTGATGTTGTCTTGCCAGATGTATTCAAATTCTAAGATGAAAAAATTTAAATGAGACATTAAAATTTGCTAACATTAAAAAAAAAACTTAAAAAAAATTCAAGTTCTAATTTTAGTACCTTTCTATTAACTCTTTATTATATTTAAATGGATAGAAAATTATTACCTGTGTTTCAAAATCTATATGAATTGTTTTGGTTCCACAACTGTCCCATGGCATTCAAATAAATCCTTTATTATCATTGTCAACGTAAAGGGCATAAGTATACAAAAAAATACTTTATTTCAGATCTTCAGTCATAGAAAATCTGTAAGTCTGCCTAGACATCTAAGAACTTTGTGCTCTGGATATGTCTGAAGCCACACTCCTCAATATTTTAAGTATAAAATAATCACCATAAAAAACCTACAAGATAGTTTAAGTTTAAAAACTTTTAAAATCCTTATTTAATTCTTACCCATTAATCTTCCTTATAAATTATTTTATGATACAAACTCCCAGCACAAAAAGGAAAAAAAAAACTTTCAGTGAAATGTGGAAGAAATAAACACATTTGTTAAGTCAGAAAGAGGAAGCTGAGTTGGCTGAATCAACACAGGAATAAAAATGTGTATAAAGATTCTTCAAGGAGAAAACTTACTCAAGAAAAACACAGCTCCTTAGAAGGCTATAATATCAAACTTCATGGGATCCAGCTGACAGGGACTACAATAAAAGTCTAAATTAACTCTGAGAAGTTCAACAGAAATTTGCAAACCTACATGAAATAGGAAAAAAATAGGCTATCTTCTAAGTTATAAAGGTTTTCCACATTCTTCAGAAGTTAGATTATTACAGATACTTAAGATAAACAACTTTGTAATAGTATTTAGTAAGTCCTTAACAGTGTTCAAAATTGTTAATTTAAGAGAACTCTGAAGGGAGCAACTACATCATTCACATACGTAATTTTTAATTACTTACAGATTTACTGTCATCATTACTTGATGTTGGATCTTTATAGCTGGAACCAGGTAATGCCGGAAAATCTTCATTGTGTATTGAGAAGTCCTGGGATTGCTCATTTGCTGGTTTTGTTACCATTCCAACTACGTAATAAAAATAATTCAAAGAACTGCAATTGATATTGATGATTTTAAAAACCACAAATCAGGAAAAAAAAATCAACTTTACGAAGGTTTTTTTTTTTAAATGCTATGAAAGCACATTTCAGAAAAATTAGTATTCAGGGTAACAGTGAAGAACTAGATTTTTATATATTGACAAGTATCTCAATATATGAAATAATACAAGGGAACTAAGTGGTAATCCTATAATTCTAATCTAACGTCATTCATAAATGCATAGAAATAAATTTGATATTAAATTTTTGTTTAAAAATTTTCTTAAAATATATTTGACTAGTGATTATAAATACCAGTTAATCAGATAATACAAATGAGCAAATTAAGTTCTAAAATAACATTTCATTCTACTTGAAAGTGACTTACAGAGTGAGCAAATTGCAATCAATTATAAAACAACTCCATATTATTTCAGATTTTCTTGGACTCCATGTAATAGATGTAAAACATGCAAGAAATGGGAAGTAATCCTCCCACTATACTTGGCATTAGTCAGGCCCTTATTGGAGAACAATATCCACTTTGGGGCTCCACAATTCAAGAACGATATGGAGAAACTAGAGATGGTCCAAGGAGAGCAACGGGAATGATTAAAGGGATGAAAAAATGGACCTATGAGGAAAGGTTACAAACATTAGAGTCTGAACTGAGAATCAAGTAGCCAGGTACTCAACTTCCAGGGCAGATCACTTTTTTGGTATTTCTGAAAGACTGATTTGCAAACTTCAGAATATAAACAATAAAATTTTCCCATCTTGACATAGTATTTGTTTTCATGTTCTGAGAAGAGAGGTTTAGAAACCTTTCTTGGTTGGAAATGGGAAAAAACAGTTTATCTTAAAAATGTGATGGACTGGTTTCTCTAAGTTTATTATTTCTACTATTAACTCTCCATCAGATTCTCCCCCAAAAGAAACAACTGTATGTGTACAAGAGATAAAAATGTACTGAAACAATGCCATTGCATAAAACTGTTACTATCTATTTCAAACTCCCTTTCCACTTACATTCTACTGGTCAAATCCTTCATTAGACAGAAACTGTGTTGATTAAGAATCTTCATAAACAATAACTGCCCCAGGAGCAGTGATTCTCGATGCGAAGCATTTTTCTTTTTTTTTTTCCTTCCCAGAGGATATCTGTCAATGTCTCTACATATTTGTTACTGTCAAAATAGGGCTGATGAAGAGTGGGAATGCTACTACTGAACTCTAGGAAGAAGAGGTCAGAGATGTTGCTAAACATCTTTCAACTACTGGCCCAGAATAATACTGGTTTGCAGGTGTAGAAAATCACAGGCTGTATTGCCTTAGTTATAACTGTTGTTCCATGAACCAGTTTTCAGGATAAAAGTCACATTTTCACTTCCATCTAAATAATAGTCCAGATACAAAAGAAACTACAGAATGATGCTATAATACACACAAGATAGCTGCTACTCACAAGGAATTTTCATCTGGATTAGAAACATTTCAGTGCATGCCTGGTTGTTAATCATCACTAGTTATGTGTTCTTTATAAAAAAAGTTTAAGGCTGGTAAGATAGCTCAACAGGGTGAACTGTATGCTTTACATGCAGGAAAACAAGGTTATTGGATCTCCCAGTCCCTATAACCACGTGTTCTCCTGTGCACCATCAGAGTGTGAGTCAACTACCACCAGTACCCACCCCCTTCTACACATACCAAAAATACATGTGACTCAGTGGTAAAGTATGTACACAAGACCTGGGTTCAAAATCTGGTGAAGCCTCCTCCCCCCAGTGATAAATTAAGAAGAGAAATGGCAGACCTCCCCACCAGCCCCTACAAAAATCACTTAAGGTGCACAAAGGCAGAGACTTGAGGGGGAAAAGTAATTTCTGCATACCAACAAACAAGGGCTTCCTTCTAGGTTTTCTATACAAACCAGGTTTTTCCCATTTACTATCAACATTTTCTGGGAAGGAAAAACACTTTATACAAATCAACTCTGAGAAAACTAAACCAATATGATCAGAAAACATAAACACACACATCTGTGTTTATGTATACACAATGAAAGCATTTAATGGTCATCATAAAAAAATTTAATTACCATAAGGAGCTCTTCCAGCCAAGGGGTTTATTAATGGAGTTGGATTACTACTTCCTTCCCTTCTGTTTCGGTCGGCTAATGCTGGAAAATCTGAAAGGTCCAATCCCGTCACATTTTCACTTCCATCTAAATAACAGTAAGAAAGAACAGCAGTTATTGATTTACATTTAAAAGACTATGAAGACCAATTACTAATGGTGCCTTCTTCCTAAATAATGCACAGCACCAAATAAGTTATATATTCAATAAATCCCATTGGATTGATTTCAGATGAATGAATAGAATTCAATATGTAACCAGCATAATAAACACCAAACCCAAGAGACTTAGGATACAAACTAAGGAATAAAATGGTTTATTAATGTCCCTTTGAAAAAGGGCAATCTAAGGTATAAGCTTGCTAGCTCACACGAAGACTACCATAACTGCTCTTTCTGTTCCATTCAAGAAGAGGTCGCATCCAGAACACTTGGAGAACTTCAGCTATACACTAGTCTGATAATGACAGTGCCTTCTGCAAACGGTCAGAAACAGATGTATTTGAGACATAGAAGCAGAAGCAAAAAAATCCTAAGATTTTGCTGTGTGTTGTTCCACACAATCAAGTGTATATTCTTGATTATACTATGTAATCAAGTGTATGTGTTATAGTTTCAGGTCAAAGTAGGGAAGAATAGGTAGAATATAGGTGAGTGCTTTGGAAGTATGGAAATATGATACAAAGCCCAAAATATATTTTTATTACCTATTACATAGTAGGCGCTCAATAAATAACATACTAAATGAATACATTTTGGGGGGTTCATTTTAAAATTTAAAAGGCAAGCTGGTTTCCTTTAAAGAATTCAAAATATTACTCAACCTTCCCACTCTGTCTTTTAACCATTCCCAATTTATTCTCAACTTTTATTATTCTATTCTTACAACATACGTTCTTAATTCTGGATAAATTTAATTTTCGATCTAAGTTTTAGTCTGTACTATAATTTTTGCTCAATCTTTTTGTTTGTGTTTTTGTTTTGGAGTCACATCCAGTTGGGATCAGGGCTAATGCTGGCTCTGTGTTCAGGGCGCACTACTGGAGATGCTCAAGGAACTACATGCAGTGCCAGGATTTGAACTGGGGTTAGTCCAGTGCAAGGCAAATACCTTAACCTCTGTACCAACTCTCTGGCTCCAATCCTTTATATACTGTTTTATAACCATGACCTTTTCCCCCAGTTTTCCTTTATCTCCAAGTTTCAAAATCACTTTGATAGAAAAACAATACAACTCCGTTAATATTACAAGTCACATGACAATTTAAAATTATAAGGGGCAAAAATAAATTCACTCATACCAACTGCTTAACATGGTGGTTTATAAATTCTGAATTTATAAGTTACAATATATTCAAACATGACAACAAAAATGAACAATAGTGTTTTAATATATGATATAATCTCAAATGATCAAACTGTAAATGAATTATAAACTAAGTATGCATTAATTTTTAAAACACATCTTTAGGTCTTCTTAGGTGGAATTTTAAATTGCCATGCTATTTGAAAAAAAAAAATTCTTATCACTATAAACCCCAAATCTGGGGGTTGAAAACTTTGAAAAAAAGTTTTTTAATAATTTAAAAAATTTAAAGAACTGTGATTTACAAAGTTATTGAAAGTTGAATTTTAGGGGTATAATTCAACACCAATCCCATTAGAGTCAATTTCTATCCACCAGTGTTAGAACAATTTTCTCAGTCAATATTGAGTGAAAATTATTTTTAAATTTTAAAATTTATGTAGATGTGTAAAACCGTAATTCACAATATAAGATGGCATTGTCAGACATACTCTTACTCTATACTCCACTGAGCCAAAGGAAAAAGTTAGAACTCTGATATTAAGCCTGACTCAGAAATAATAAAAAGTGTGTCTTTTAGAAGCAATAGAAATGGTACTTCATATTATAACATCCTGAACGCATAAGAGTAATTTCAAATGTTAAAATGTGCAATTTCAAAGTACATTAACAGTCATGAATCATGTTTTATTACTAAATCTTCTCGCACTTTTATGTTCTATTTTACTGTTTATTCTTTCACCTTCTACTTCCTTTACATGTGTTCATTCTTCAACAATCATGATTATTTTTGACCCTTTCTCAGATCATGCCTAGATCCTTTATTTCCTTTCTATGAAGAGGGTCTGGAGGTAAGCGTAAAAAGTAAAACAAATCGCTCAGTTTTGCTGAAGTAACTAGTTAAAAAAAAATAAACCAATAAACTGCAGGAATTATTTTACTATAAAAAAAACCAACTGGGTTTTCATAAAATTTATTTTTAAATTTTAAGCACTTGATCTACCCATGATGTATTCGATATGCCAAACATAATAACAACAAAGTCTCCAATGGAGATGTTACTGGGCCTGCTCGAGCAAATTGATGAACAACAGGAGGACAGATAAGCACTTGATAAAAAATTGTTAAGATTCAAAAACCAAACAACAAAAACCCCAGATCCCTCTGAAACTAAGGGTTAAGTGCCCAAATTACTATTAGCAAACCTATTCAGAAAAAAACTAAGTGCTATGTAGAAATTTGAATGTTTCTTTAACAGGGATCTTTATAGTCATCCATGTCATACCACCCAACCAGATTTAGAATAGTTCACAGTGACAGGACTGAGGACAGGTGAAGCTCCATAAAGCAAAAGATTCTCAGGGATAAGTGAACGTTCTGGCTTTTTGTAGGCATTAAGGAAATAATTCGATTTTATAACACTATCATTGCCATATCAATTAAAAAATATATTTTGATCTATCTCTGTACTGTAGACCAAATTATATTCTACCCATTCAAATTCTCAGCAAATTTAATTCTAGCATTTAACACATTAAAAAATCCTATATTTTAAGATCAGTATGTTTGTTTTATATCTCAATAGTCTATCATTTTAATAGGGTGCTAGCTGCAAGATAAGCTTACCTGTTCCATTAAAAATGTTACTTGATAAGGAGTTATTCATTCCAAATGCCTGATTCCTGTTCATTCCAAATCCAGACATACTGGGTACATAGAAAATAATTTTAGATAATACAGTAAGAATACTAACTTTCAGATGAAGAAAACAAAAGTGTATACTTCTGATCTCCTATCATATAACAATTTGTTTAAAAGCAATTTTATCTTCTAATTTAATCTTTATTTTTAATTAAAAACTTTCCTAAAGTCCTTCCATGAATAACTGAGAACCAAAACATCTTAAATGTCTTAATTGAAAAACTTTAAAAACCGATGTATTTATATGTGAGCCTTGAGAAAAACAAAAAATTATGGGGACCTTTAGTGTACTTGCAGAGGCAACTTACTGGATATACTGAAAGTAACTATTCTCAAAAGTATGCAATTTATTGCAAAGACTACGTTTTCTGAAGACTTGGTTTTTCTTCTTCTAATGGTGAAGTGAGCTATTATTTCTTTGCGTAAACGACTTTTTTCTATACAAAAATTTTTTTCCAACTATAATATAAACTTGCCATGGACAGGGTTCAAGTCTATTCATCTTTATATCTTCTGCCTATAGTGTTCAGGAGGATACAACAGAAACTAAATATTCTACTGGATCTGAAGTAAAAGGCACTTCTGTTTAACTGAATTTAGTGCTCTAAAACATGAATACTTAGTTTATATTTTAACTACTTAAAAGAAAAAAGCCCAGTGCCCACAATTCTAAACACACAATTAATACTTAATATATGCCTTTTTCACAACCCTAAATAGGAGAACAAACACAAAAAATAAGACTGAACCTACAGTAATACCAGAAGTAATGTAGAATGTCAGAGAATACAAATTCTACAATGAAAACATATAAATTCATCAGAAAATAATTTGACAAAAGACAGTGTATCAGTGATACAAGAAAGGTTGAACTATTTGAAGATGAGAAGTTTTTGTTTCTGTTAAATCTGTAAAACTATGGTTAAACAATATTTTTCACAAAATATGAAACAACCTACCTAGGAAGAATAGGAAAAGTAATAGAAAATTTTATTTAATGGCATGTAAGAATTGCTTATGATATCGGCACTCTTAAACACTGAATATATGCTACAAGATAAAACATTCTTGTAATAAACACAAATGTCATCAAAAGCAATAATTAGGGTTTCAGGTCCATGTTTCAATGATAATTTATAAGCAATGTATTTTTCAAAGACAAAAAGTTAAAAAAAGTCACGATAAATTTTTAAAAGTACATTGAATGAACAATTCTTTAAGAATGCAGAAAGATGTGATAAAGTCTAAGAAGTAGTATATGGTTAGGAAGTTATCAAGGAGATGATTTTTGATAACTCTTTAGAAATAAGTTTTTATTTCACTAAAAAAATGAGAGCAGTGAATACAAAAGGAATGACAATTGAAATCATGGGATGAAGATTAAAACAGGAAATGTGCTAATCTATTTTAATCAGATTTTATAAGTACTGGAATAATTCAAATGAAAATGATGACAGCAAACAGATCAAGGTCCTATTTCTCTCAAAGTTTCCCCATAAAAAAAATCTGGCAATCAAACATTTTTGCAAGAAAGCAAGCCTTATATTGTAGATATAACCCACAGACAATACCTAGACAGCTTAAAACTCCCAACAAAGCAGATAACTTAGTACTTTTATTTTTGCACAGTATTATACGCAATAGACAGTACAAAAAAGGGGTCATAAAGAACGGCTCATCTCTTTTACTGTTTTTGTTTGGGCCACACCTGGCAATGCTCAGAGTATTACCCCTGGCTCTGCACTCAGGAACCACTCCTGGTGGTGCTCTGGTGACCATATGGAATGCTGGGATCAAACCCAAGTCAGCCACTTGGAAGGCAAATGCCCTACCTACTGTACTATTGGTCTAGTCCCCCGAAGCTCAACTTTTTGTTTTAAATCCCATAAATGATACTCTTCAAATACTCCAAAGACAGAAGACCGTGGTGGTGAAGTCTTCAAAGCACAAACTGATTTCCAGTAGAAAAGGTGTGAGTCAAGATAAGTCCAGTGAGTCAAAATGTCTCTCTCTCTCTCTCTAGTCCTTACTTATTATAACTGTGGGACTCTTACCACTGGTAATCAACCTCCTCACATGAGGTGACCAACCTCACTTATTATTAGAGGACGGCAACAAAAACTTGTCTAATGGCAACCTAAGAATAACCTAACAACTAAAAACTTTCTATAATGAACTGACTTTGGAAAGAACAACTTATTTTTGGATTTCTTTTGTTCTGATTTTGGGCCATACCTGGCAGTGCTCAGGGTTTACTCTAGGTTCTCGCAGATCACTCCTCACAGGGTTCAGGAGACCACATGGAGTGCCAGGGATGAAACCCAGGTCAGCCGTGTGCAAGACAAGCATCCTACCTGCTGTACTATCTCTCTGCCCCACCACTCCCCGCCCTCCAGTATCTTTAGGAACATTAAAGTCGTGAAGCGTAACAAAAAGAGACTCTTTGGTCATAAATGTATGATGAAACACTAATGAGACAGAAGACTAAAGAACATTACTGAATATGAAAAGGCAAATTTGAAAATACTCCAAAAGACAATTATACACAGTATCAATAAACTCTTACCTGTTCACAGTAAAAGGCTGTCGAGAAGGCTGCTGCTTTGGCATACATATTATGCTCGGCGAGCTTCTGTTGGGGCTACCTAACCCTGAACTGCTCATGCTATTTGTCCTGCTAGGAATTCCAATGCCCTGACCAACCTGGGAGTGGTTCATCATATTCCTAGGATTCATAGGCAAAATACCCCTGAAAAAGAAGTCCATTATACTAAATAAGCTCTCCACAATTATTCATTAAAATTCTCTATAATTAATTAATTGTTCTAACTCTCGAACCTACCCAAGTATGCCTAAAAATTACAGTGCTAATTTTCATTATCTGTCTGGCAATTGTAGCTCTTCGAAAAGAAAAATGAAACAAACCAATTTTTAAAAGGGCAATAAATTATAGTGAAACTAATATATGATCTCTAAGATGAGAGAACTAATGGGGTTATTATGACATTAATACAAATGTATATCATATATTTATAATTTCATACCAAATGTATGTCATTTTATCCTCTTCATGTTAATATGAATAATTTAAGCAATGTTTTATTCTCATTAACACAAAGGATGCATAGTGTGTGAGCAGTGATCAAAATTATTTTAAATTTGTATATCCTTTTAGAAAGAGCTGGCTTTTTGAAAATGTTGACTACTGGTATATTAGTTGCAGGATAAACACATTTATCAATTTGCAATGAATTCAATGAGTATAGGGTATCAACTATTCTTCTCCTAGTGAAAGGCAATGAACCAGAAAATTCAAATCATTACTTCATTTAAAAACTTGCTTATTCTACAAATATACATTTTGAGAAATATTCTGGCCCATTAATAAATACCTGCTTGGAGATGGTGGCGTGTGAAGTGACATTGTTGGTACCCCTGTTGTTGGCGTGACGTGGCTCGGTAACTGAGTGCCTTGTGATAAGCTGCGATTTAACTGAGGGGTATTGTTGCTCATCCCCCTCATTGGAAGGCCTAGTGCACCTATTAAAAAAATTCAGAAGAAGGAAACTCATTGCCATCAGGAATGAAATTGCTATCCATCTTCTGGAGTTGGCAATTTAAAACATTTTAAAATGATCTACGTGTAAATACAAGTTTTAAATAGATATATTCAATTCACTCCAAAGACTCCAGTTTTAATAAAAAGATTCTAACCTGCATTAATATTTCTATCTCCATTTCAGTACTATTTTATAAAAACTTTGGTAATAATTAGATGACTTTTAAGTTTCGGTGAAAACGCTTTTCACAACTCTGCCTGTAAGAAATTTGCAATCTGCATGTTTTCCTGCTTTAAATAACTTAGGTACAGGAACTTCTAACTCTGCTATGCTGAAATCACTGTAATTTTTATATGATCCTTTATTAATGTAATTAAGAAAAAGTTCCTTCACTACTATTTATACACACATAATACTCAACATTATAATTTTTATAAACAACATATACTGTCAGCAATTATCTTTAGATAAGTCTCTTATATATATAGTTATATAAGAAACAAAAATTGAAAAAATTAAAAAGGATTTTAAAGCACAATGACCCCTTTATTTGTCTTCTATGACCAGGGTCAACGATTGGAATACATTCCAACAGATTTATTTTTTCAGACTGTTGAGGACTCACCATTCAGATATTTATGACATGCTACCTTTTACTGATATATGAAACATTTTTTTCTTCTTTTATCCCTCAAATTAAAAATGCCCAGTCTTTAATTTAAACTGTACATCCTTTCAGAAAGAGCTTGCTTTTTGAAAATGTTGACTACTGGTATATTAGTTGCAGGATAAACACATTTATCAATTTGCAATGAATTCAATGAGTATGGGGTATCAATTATTCTTCTCCTAGTGAAAGGCAATGAACCAGAAAATTCAAATCATTACTTCATTTAAAAACTTGATTACCAAAACAGGTTACTATTTTATCTACCTACGAAATTTCCTTGACTTCATCTTCCTAAACCATATTTTAAAATTCTCTTATACACAGCCATGAAATGACAAGCAGTCAATCAAGTCTATTCTGAAACAGGGTTAAATAAAAGTCTAAGACAGAATGAGAGCTAATGAACATGGGAAAGTCTCTAGTGCCAGGTATTTATGGTGACACTCTCCCACTTTCTTTTGTCTAATTTGGGGCATGTCCAAGTATTTTCAAGAATCTGAAGATGTCAGAACTATGGCCTCCAGAAAAGTGGAATACTTTATGCTCTGGTTTTCTTCACATATTTCTTTTCAAAATTCATCATTTGGGGGCGGCTGGAGCTATAGCACAGCGGGTAGGGCGTTTGTCTTGCACGCAGCCAACCCAGGTTCGAATCCCAGCATCCCATATGGTCCCCTGAACACCGCCAGGAGTAATTCCTGAGTGCAGAGCCAGGAGTAACCCCTGAACGTCGCCGGGCGTGACCCAAAAAGAAAAAAAAAATTATCATCATTTGGCACAGCAGTGTACCTCCTATAATCTAGGGATATCAGTGGACCTTGAAGATTTCACCATCAGTCTCTGGAACAGGTAAAGTCTCAGTACTCAGCTTGTATAGTGCAAGTGATTCTCAGCTGAGAGGCTAATGAACCCAACTCAAAATAGCTTTAAGCAATTCTTCTCAGCTCTGTACCATAAAGATCTGTGCTCAGTTCTGCTTTGAAGTCAAATGAAGGGAATTATTCTACAGTATACAAGTGTCTAGTCACCGTAAGTTTTGTGACAAGGAGAACACCACTAGTTGCAGCCATCTCCCCAAATCTGGGACAAAGCAAGGAAGAACAAAAGATCAAAAATCAGTTTCTATGAGATTTCTTTAGAAGGAATCTTTTTTTATTCTCTCAGGTTATACTAGTTTCTGCTGCTTCTTGAGGCGCTCTCATAATGAAACACCAAAGTGATGCTGTCCAGATCAGTCATTCAATTTACTGAGTGCCTATAATCTGTTAAGCGCTGTGCTAGCTGCTGGGGACACAGCAGTGAACGGGACAGAAAAGGCGCCTATCTTCTGGAGCTTACATCTTTCTCCCCAAATATGCTGTCCTAAAATCAGTGACACAAATTTTTTCACAGGAATGCATTTCTCAAAGTCAATAAAAACCAAGAAATGATACAAGTTTAGGGTTAGGTTAGAAGGGAACTTAATGATTACCCAGTCCAATTTTACAGAAGAGAAATAACCGAGCCTCACAACTGACTTCTCCCCAAGGTGACACACAAAAACACAATCCTAGAATTTAAGTATCTTAATCCTACTATTCCTACCACTAAAAGCCCAATAAAACTCTAAACTAGCACTTGTGTGAGTGAGTACCTTCGGTATTCTAAGAACTCTTTTTATATCTTTTTCTGAATATTTACTTCGTTTCAAAATTTTCCTGAATTTTCCTTTTTCTTTTGCCATCTATATCCCAGCTGTCATTTCTCTAGTTTTCCTTTCTTTACCTAAAAAGTTAACTTATGAGGCTCTCTTTCTATATCTTTACCACTATAAACTAACTCACCAAAATTCTAGTACCCTCTGGTTCATTTCTAGTAACAAAGACATCTAACAAAAGACTCATTAAAGATACATTTACTTCAACCCTCTACACACATATATATCTACTGCTATATATTGTATTCTAAAACTTCACAGCTTCAGAAGTATTTTAGATTGGAGTCTCTGAATACTGGCAGAAAACCGTTTAGAGAAATAATGCGTAAAGTTATTTCTTTAGCAAGTTAGGGAAAGGCACACAAGTTAATTTATAATGCTGAGAGTAAAGGAATACAAAGAACTGAAAGATGTAATAATTTTATTTTCCCTTCAATACTCTGGAATTAAGAAAAACATGATGCATCCAAAAGATACCTACAAGTCCAACAGTTGCATTTTGTTGGATTAATAGGTATAAAAAAAGAGAGAAGGGACGAGAGAGAATTGCTGGCTTGGGAATAAATGATAATTAAATTATTTTTAAAATACTTAAAATTAAAATAATTAAAATACAGATTTAAATTCCTTTAGGAACAGTATGCATATTTAAAAAGAAAGAATTTTGGAAAACAAAATATACTAAAGTCATTAAATATGAGTTACTTAAGTCAAACTATTACAACTAAGTTCTGGGGAAGAGAAAATTTTTTTACTAGTATAATTAGAAACAGTCACAGAAAATCATCTCCAAAATGACTTATAAAAAAGTAATAGAAAAGGATCACAAAACCTTTCTGACATGAATAACTACAAGGTGAAAAATATAAGTACGATGCACATATGTATACATGAGATACATTGGAGAGCCCGGCAAGCTACCTGTGACGTATTCAATATGCCAAACACAGTTACAACTGGTCTCAAAATGGGGACATTACTAGGCCCACTCGAACAAATCAATGAACAACGGGAGGACAGAGTTACATATGGGTAGTTTCTGCGAGAATAATGAAATTAAAATGGACTGAGCACCTAACAAACCATGTTGTCAAGTTCTATGTTACTTCATCTCCTTTTCTCCTAGTAGCAACTCTACAAATAAAGTAATTTTTTTTAACCACTGTAATGGTATGGAACATTAAAAAAAACTGTTGAAAAGCAAACTAACAGGTTATAATTCAGAATCCAATGTTTCTTTCAGTATAACAAAGGCAAAGAATAACTACACCGGTGTGAAGCAATAGTATAGTGGATAAGGCATTTGCCTTGCAGACTCCCAACCCCAAGCACTGCTAGGAGTAATTCTTGAGGGCAGAGCCAAGAGTAACCTCTGAGCATAGCCATGTGTGACCCCCCTTAAAAAAAAACCCAAAAGAACAAAAAACCACACACAATAACTACACTATTCTATTAGAATACATACATCTGTTAGAATACGTACATACAGATGTACGTATTCTAATCGATTTCAGTCTCTAGCACTTTTCTCAACAGTCAAAGAATGAACTGGATTTAATCATTCATTTTCTTTTTCAGCAATCTAAAATAGGATCTAAGAAATATGTCCATGGATTATTTCCAACACACAAACTGATTAGCAGCAAACTCCTGTAACACTTATGGCAAGATGTGTCTGCCTGTGATCTTTAACAAATCAATTTAATAATACAAGAAAAATATAAGAAAAACATTTAATCCTATGAATACTCATTTAAATGAAGTTTCTGAAATCCTGAGTAGAGACCCTTCAATAAGATGAGAGATTGAAGTGTCCTACTTTCCATTCCCAAAGCAACCAGTCCCTGCAAGCCACTGCTCTGCCCACTTTACCACTTTGACTCTCTTGCTCCTAGTCAGCCAATATTATCTAACATTATTTCACTATGCTATTTTCTTGACAAAAATCAGAGATTTAAAGATACAAAAGCCTGCAGAGACCATCCTATTAACTTACTAATGATGTTCATAAAATCAAATTAGAAATAAAGAGCCAACATCACACATTAAGTCACGTACTCAAGATCACGTTAAAGGATAAAAATTTCTTCTGGGCTGGGGATGCAGCTTGGGGACAGACACTTATTTGCATGTGGTGAAGCACCTTGGTTCAATACACACACAGACACACACACACACTTAACAGTCCAACTACCCCTCGTCCCCCCCCCACCAAAAACAAACAAAAGCTTAACTCCCATTTTAATCCTTTTTTTTCCTTTTCTTTACAACATTTATGCACAGCAGCTGTGGATGCACATGGGATTACTAATACATACATGAAAGTAAAATGGACATGGGATCAGAAAATGTTTTCTGGAGACATTAACACAAGAATCAAATAACAAATTACATAACCAAGAATTCAGGTAGGCAAAATGTAACAGCACTACTAAGAAAACACAAAATGTATGAAATGAGAAAAAGCATAGTACTCTTGCTTCTGGGTACCAGGGAAGCAGCATGGATGGAGTTCATTCGTCTCAACATCCTCAACAACGGAAACTGCTGCTTTGTTACAACCAGCTGAGACTCCCAATCAAGGCTGGATCTTTATAGCAGTCGGTAAACTTAG